ACGGACAAGTCTTTTCTGATGCATGCTGGGTAAAGAGGGCGGGCTGAGGCTGATGATGGAACCCCTGCACACGAGAACGCTCAAGAGAAGCGGCCTGGGTTCTGAAGGAAGCGGCTCACCTCTGCGGGCCTGGATGGGTGTCTGGGTCGGCCGCTCCGCTGGCGGCTGCTGTGGGGTTTCTGCCGTGAAGCTGAGCAGAGACGGGGGCGGGCTGAAGCTCCTCTCCCTGGTGGGGGGCAGTGGGGGGCACAGCAGGCGGCAGCTCAGCCTCTTTGTTGGAAGACTGGAAAGGAGGAAAGAGCAGATTGAGAAACTCTCTTCACCTCGGGGAGTCTGACCATTTCCTGGTTACATTTAAACTGTTCTTTCATAATTAATCAATCTAAAACCTCTGGACAGATGGGGGTCCAGACTTGGACTAGGCCACTTGTACCCGACTGGTATCACTCAGGCTGGATCACTCTTTTTTTCATGAACAGAGACATATTTATTTGGTTGGTGATGAATAACTCTACTAGAGCTGCCACTAATGACTAGTTTACTAACCACTAGTATTACCTAATTTTTGCGATTAGTCTACTAATCTTAACGACTAATTTCTAAATAGGACCCTGCAGTTGGGGGTGGGCAGAGCAGCCGCTTGATGGTGACACCAAGTAAAAAAAAGTTCCATCCATACCGCCTCTGTGCGCTCATATGATAAACCCTGTCTCTGTCTGGTGACGTCTCAAAAACACAACAATGACTATCAAAGCGCATCCATAGCGTTGATCGAGGGAGTTTAACTCCAAAGGTTTAATAAAATAACATAAATAAAATTCAAATAAAGCAGGTAGAATGTTATGTTGGAGGACCAGAGAGCAGCTCTGATTATTATTGCTGCACTCAAACATTTTTTTATGAACAATGGAGAAACAGTTTATAAATACCCACAATAACTAGAAATGTTCAAACCTGCCGATGAAAATATTGGATTATATATTCTGGTTCTTGCAGTTTAGACCTCAAACCTTAAAAATTCTTTCTACCTCCAGCCGCTACGAACGGCAGCAGGAAGGCTGCAGCAGAGAGCTTTCAGCGGGGATTTCCAGCGCCAACAAGAAGTGCAGATTATAGTGAGATTATAATCCTGATGAACTGGTGAACAGAGGATGTTTGGAGGTGGACTTTCTCACTTAAAAACCTATTTTTCTAACTCA